TAAATATATAGGGTCATGGTAATAAAGGAAGAGAGATTGAAAATATAAAATAAGTTGTATATAACTGATATGGACGTATATAGAAATAAACGAAATAAGAAGAAGAGTGATTTCTTTTCTTTTGCTTCGAACAAAGGGTGAAAAGTGAATACGAATATTTGACTGCTCAGCACAAAATTAGACTTCATTTCCAGCTTACAGCTCGACAAGAACATGATTCTGTCTCTTTGACTACATACTCTCGCTTTTCTTGCAGCATCAACACCCGCTGCAACACCTCCAGCAATCCCTGACTCAGGTAAGTACGTTTTCGTAGCTTGTAGACCACACGGTGGCAATGGCAAATCTACCACATATGGTGGTGGATATTTGTCAATCAGGCNCCCGAACAAAATTTTCAATTTCCTACTTTATTTGACTGCTCAGCACAAAATTAGACTTCATTTCCAGCTTACAGCTCGACAAGAACATGATTCTGTCTCTTTGACTACATACTCTCGCTTTTCTTGCAGCATCAACACCCGCTGCAACACCTCCAGCAATCCCTGACTCAGGTAAGTACGTTTTCGTAGCTTGTAGACCACACGGTGGCAATGGCAAATCTACCACATATGGTGGTGGATATTTGTCAATCAGGCACCTATTGTCTAAAACAGTTGACTTACTTAGTACAACTCGAGCACAGAACAAGAATACTGGACAGACTGAAATGACAGAAAATATGTGTTTGGGAAAGTCGATTTTCTTTCGAAAATGAGCTTACTTTGCATGTCCGTCTCCCGAACAAAATTTTCAATTTCCTACTTTATTTGACTGCTCAGCACAAAATTAGACTTCATTTCCAGCTTACAGCTCGACAAGAACATGATTCTGTCTCTTTGACTACATACTCTCGCTTTTCTTGCGAACTGGGCCGAACAGTTGTCTACAAAATGGTATACTTGTTCAATCTTTGTCAGCTCGCCTTTACTATTTCAGACGCGGTTTTTATATGGCCTTAACCGCGATTTTTGGGGGATGTTTGCACAGGAGCTGTATTTGGATAACGAATGAACGTTCAGAGCCGAGATGCTTTTCATTTTATTGAGAAATCTTTAAACTCAACTATATAGTTGTAATTTTAGATTATTTTCTAACATTTTTGCTATAGTTCCTTGAAAAAGAGCGAAAAATGGGGACCGCTAACTCAACAAGCCGTAGAATACTGGACAGACTGGAATGCCAGAAAAGATGTTTTTGGAAGAGTTGCTTTTCCTTGAGAAGTGAGGTCACTTTGCTTATTGGTCCTGTTCCAGCGTTGCGTCGTGTATTGTGAAAGGACTTAGAATTAACGTCTGTTGAGATGATGGCAGTTTCAGTGCTAGCTGTAGGTCTAACGTGTTTTTCTCAGGCCGATGGACGTCTATTGGAAGCATGGGAAATGAACGTGCGCTGCATACTGCGACTTTGCTCAGTTCGAGCAAAGTTCTGGTCGCTGGTGGTTGGGGAGAAGCTGTACTTGGGAGCTGTGAAGTATATGATCCGTCAACGGGCCGTTGGAATCCTACTGGAAGCATGAGAAATGTGCGTTATTATCATACTGCAACTTTGCTCAATTCGAGCGAAGTTCTGGTCACTGGTGGTTGGGGACTAGCGTTACTTGCGAGCTGTGAAATATATGATCCATCAACGGGCCAATGGAAAGCTACAGCAGACATGGCATATGCACGGGATTTGCATACTGCAACCCTGCTCAATTCGGGGAAAGTTCTTGTCACTGGTGGTATAGGATTGGTCGACAGTGCTACTAATAATTGCGAAGTATTTGATCCATCAACGCGCCAATGGAACCCTACAGGAAGCATGGCAAATCCACGTCGAATGCATACTGCAACCCTGCTCAATTCGGGCAAAGTTCTTGTCGCTGGTGGTAGAGGATTGGGGACCAGTTATCTTGCTAGTTGTGAAATATATGATCCAGTAACGGGTCAATGGTACACTACAGGAAGCATGGCAAATGTGCGTCATTATCATACTGCAACCCTTCTCAATTCGGGCAAAGTCCTGGTCACTGCTGGTGCAGATTCGTCATTTACTTTTCTTGCTAGTTCTGAAATATATGATCCATTAACGGGTCAATGGGACACTACTGGAAGCATGGAAAATGCGCATATGCAACATGCTGCAGTCCTACTCAAGTCGGGCAAAGTCCTTATCGCTGGTGGTGAACTATCATTCTTGAATCCTAGTAATATTTCTGAAACATATGATCCATCAACGGGCAAATGGAATACTACTGCAAGCATGATAAATGCACATATGCAGCATGCTGCAACCCTTCTCGACTCCGGCGAAGTTCTGGTCACTGGTGGTGTAGGATCTACTTGTGAAAAGTACACTCCGTGAATCTGCTATTGTCTATCTTCATATATGGGAAAGTGGAAGTGTTTGACAATTAATAATAAATCTAGCTTTAACTATCTGTTATATTACTGTTATTTCTACTCTGTTTTTCCTCATATCGAAAGAATGCACAGTTTAAATAAATAACGTTCTTTTCTCTTCCTCTCAACTATTACAACAAGATTAAAATGTCACCTATCCATATTCTGTGACCATGTCACAAAAAAGTTCAACAGTGAAAGAGATTAAGTCGGTGGAAGAGGCGGGTGCTACCGAGCATACTCTCCAGCAAGTATTCAGAAGCAAAGCTAAATGGTATTTGAACGACGATGAACTGCTAGATGTATCGATCAAAAGACGATGCAGATTTTCGAAGGATAACAATAACTGTGCACCTAGTGAAAGTCGATACAGCTAGCTTCATGCATCTGGCTGGATCTACTGGTGCATTTCTCAAATGAAACTATCTTTTATCCTTCAAAAATATGCACTCGGTCTTATACAAACAAATAAACGAGTACAATTTTATCATAAAAAGTAGGAAAAGTCGAAGAAAGGTTACCCACTCACACCAACTCTCGCTCAGCCATACGGTATCCCCTTAAACTCGTAACCTTGCCGTAAACTGGACTGAATACGAGCTATACCTGTTGAATAAAAGACCTAAATATGTACCTGTGGCACCACTTACGAATCGAGCATAGCATTAATATTAAAATCCAAGCGAAATTAAGACGAGACAAAATAACGATACGATGAACTGATGTTAGCGAATTTGGATGAATTTGCGTAACAGTCGTAGTTCTTGAATAATGAATAATTGGCGTGGTTGTTTTTAGGATGAAGAATTATTATTCATTCTGTTGTAACTCGATCTTGCTACTACAGAACTGATGCATCGAGACTCTGTAATATGATTTAGTTTTATCTGTCGTACAGATGTTCGAAATGGACGTAATATTACCAAATCTATCAGTCTTCTCACCCTTAATAAAGAACTCCAAGTGCGCCCAAAGTTTGGCCTTGTTCGTCGAAACAACGCTTACATCTTCCTTCGGTCGATGTTCGCTAGACTGTCCACCATGCGTTATGACTATTTCTCTGACATGATGTGTGAACTTCGTAAAGTACAATCTATACTAGGCTTCTCGAGAGCCCCCAAAGAACCCCAGAGGTCTAAAAAATTTCTAAATTACAGACAACGCTCACGCGTCCATTCGGTACACGCTCGCAGCCAGGATAGCTGTTACACTTACCTGATTCCACAAAAACCTCGAACGCAAGCACCTCGGTGGACCAATGTCAATGACACTCATTAGCACTTCGTGTATGTACGTCCGTCACGCTGCCACATGAGTACATGTATGTACGTCCGTCATGATGCGTAGTTTTACGATGAGTGCTTGCATATTTTCCATCGTGGTTTACAGAAGTAGTTGCCTAGCTTTTCACAGGTTAGAAAAGTTTATCAGAATTTCTGTAGTTCATCGAGACTCTGTAATTTGATTTGCTTTCATGCGCTATACAGACGTTCGAAGTGGACGAATCTATCAGTCTTCTTACCCCCGATAACAAAACCTGAGTGGGGGCAACGTTTCGCCTAGTTCGTCGAAACAACACTTACACCTCCCTTCCGTCGGTGTTCGCTAGGGACTATCTACCATGCGTTTTGAATACTTCTCTGATATGATGTATCACCTTCGTAAAGTAGCTTCAATCTATACAAGTTTTGATAGATGATAATAAGATGACAGCTGTTTCGGCCTTAGCCTTTTTCTAATGAGTGTAAGTGTAAGTGTGGCGTAAATATATAGGGTCATGGTAATAAAGGAAGAGAGATTGAAAATATAAAATAAGTTGTATATAACTGATATGGACGTATATAGAAATAAACGAAATAAGAAGAAGAGTGATTTCTTTTCTTTTGCTTTGAACAAAGGGTGAAAAGTGAATACGAAAAGAGAAGTCACAAAAAACGTTCTTGGTTAGACTTATTGAACACTGTATAGAAAAATAGATTATTGAGTGCAACGGTGCGAGCGGTATGTAAGGTTATTTTCTGTGGCATGTAGTAACAGTTGTATACTTGTACAGAAAAATAAAAAACAAAAAAATATTTTCGTTAATCAGACGAAAAGGTTGATTTTATACTAAAACAATTGTCCATTAGAATTAATTCTTCAATTTTGATTATTGGGTTTATTTAAGAAGACGGTGACACTAACGGTAGGGGCATTGAATGGTGGCATTGATAGTAGAGATTTATCGATTTAATACTGGTTGTAAGTGCTGTATCCAGAATAGTTCCCGATCTAATCGGTGCTGCTCGTTAATAAAGTTGGTTTCGATAGCTGTGATGATGAGGCCTTCGATACAGTGGTCTGGTAAGTTGAAGTGAACGGCGGTAAGTGGTTCTTCGTATTCTCTTGGCGTATTGCAAGAATATGTCCTTTGAAGCGAAGATGTAGTTCTTGCATTGTTGTGCCTACATATTGACAATAGCAGCGACGACATGTGATAAGATAAATGATGTTGGATGATTTACAGTTGAGTAGGTGATGAATTGAGAATAATCTGTTGTTTTTGGTGCTAATGAAAAATTGTGTTTCGATGTCATGTGAACAGGTAGAACATCGATTTGCATTGCATTTGTAGAAGCCGGTGGGAGGTGGATGATAAATTGATGGTATGGTGGAGAAGGACGCTGGATATTTTAAACGGACGAGTATTTTGTGAAGGTTATTGGGTAGTGTGTAAACGAAACGATAAATATCTGGTACGATGATGTCAAATTCATTTGAAAATAATTGTTGAAATGATGGTAATTGACAGTTATATGGTAATATAATGTTTTTGTGTACGAGTGGTGATGGGGTTGTGGATGCGGTATATGTTGCTGCTATTAAAAACATATTATTGAATGTTTTTTCAACTAATTCTAAACGATTTGAGTCACGATAGCGTAAAATTTTGTTCAGTAGGTTGAGTGGGTCGTGTTGACGAGCAAGTAAACGACAAAATAGGAGAAATATTGCTCCCATCTTGATGTAAGTGAAGAACAAATACGAGTAATACGATTAGATAGTGATAATGGTATATTTTGGATGATATGACGAGGATGTGAGGATTCATAGTGCAGATATTGAAATGTGCTGGTTGGTTTTGTATAAAGAGTTGTTTCAAGACGATTCAGTAGATGATAAATAGTAATAGTAATGTCTAGGTAATTGATGAATTTAGTGCTGTGTTCAAAATCATATTGACGATGTTAGTTATTGTTGTTTAATGTTTCGATAAACGTTTAAATTAGGATGGATAATTTTGGTTGGACTTGAAAAAACCAAAATAAAAGAAGGTCATCGAGAAAGCGAAATATACGGAGAAGATAACGAATAAGTTGTTGAAAGATCGGGATTTCTTGCATAAAGACAATATAATAATGTTACCATATTCGGGAGCGCGCGATGTGCCCATAGCTGTACCTTTAATTTGTTGATAAAACGTTTCCAATTGCTCCAAATGGGGTAATTACAAACATTTGAAAATTTCTCATCGTTTACCGTTTTAATTAGAGTTCAGATTAATTAATGAATAGAGCTTGGAGCTCCGCACCATTTGTAGAGCAATAATTGGTGTATTCACC